AGAGTACTAATAATAATGATAATGATAATGATAATAATCGTCATTGTTTTTTTTTTTTTTTTTACCGTGTTTATTATTATTATCATCATTATCATTATTTATTTAACTATTATTATTATTATTATTATTATCATTACTAATTAATTTTTTGTACTTTTATAACGGAAGCCATTTTATTTATTTATTTATTTTTTCGTATCTATTAATTTATACATTTTTATGTACAAAAAATAATAATAATATTTTTTCACTTATTAAAATAATATTAATAATAATGATGATGATGATAACGACGTAGATGACGATGATGACGTCAACGACGTTTGTTTTTTTTTTTTTTTCTTTTTTACAAAATTAATTTTTATTAATTAATTAAAAATAAATAAATAAGTTATTTACTATTATTATTATCGTTATTGTTATTATTATTATTATTATTATTATTATTAATAGTGTTTTTCATGCGTTTTCCCTTTTTCCGTTCCCCTCGGTCTCGCGAATAAATAATAATTTATTATTAATAATATTAATTTACTTATTAATTTACCTATCTATCAATCTACCTATCAATCTATCTATTTATTCATCTATCTATCTATCGCTCTACCTATGTATATATTTATGTATGTATGTATATATCTATTTATTTATGTAATAATTATTATTAATTAATAAAAAGTTTATCTACCTGCATCATTATTTGTGTGTGTGTGTGTGTTATCATCATTATTATATAAGAAATTTTTTATGTACAAGTAAAAATAATAAACGTCGCGTCGTTCATTATCATTATCATCATTTTGCATAATAATAATAATAATAATAATAATAATAATAATAATAATAATAATAATAATAATAATAATAATAATAATAATAATAAAATCATAAAACTTTATTTATTTATTTATTTATTAACTCGATTCCTTATTACACCTCCTTCTCTACGTATGTAAATAAATAAATAAATAAATAATAATAATAATAATTAACGTAATTTCCCTTCGATTATTATTATTATTATCAATCACAAACGCGACTCGTTTAATAAAATAATAATAATAATAATAATAATTTCCAGGCAGTTATTTTTTGTTGTGTTCCAACAGCATCACGAGTCGTACATAATAATAATAATAATAATAATAATAATAATAATAATAATAATGATGATGATGATGATGATGATGATGATTAGTTACATATATATATAAAAACCCCGTTTTCGTTTTAATTGATTATCTCGTTATCATATGCGTGTGCGTGTGCGTGCGTGAGTGCGCGTGTACGCACACGATAAATATATATATATACATGTATGTATGTATGTATGTTTCTGATAGTCAAATTCAATACCTGTGTTCGATTATTGTGATTTATTATTATTATTATTATTATTGTTAAATATTATTGATATTAATATTATTATTTACCTGTTTATTTATGTATTATTAATATTAGAATTGTCACAACGAATAAATGAATTTCCGTTACAAATATTAATAATAATAATAATATTCTACAAAAATTCATTTTTCATTAAATATTCGTTATTTTGTATATTTATTTATTTATTTAATTTATTGATCTGCTATTGTTTCGCTTTATTAATTGATAAATTAATAAATAAATAAATAAATTGTACGTGAAAAAATTAATAATAATAATAATAATAATAATAAAAGGTTTTTTTTATATTTTTTTTTACATTTGAAAATTTTTTATTGGCGACGACGATTTAAATAATAATAATAACATAAATATTTGTGTTTATTTATTTATTTTGTTTCTTTGTTTGTTTGTTGGTATGGTTGTCTGTTTGTTTGTTGTCGGTTACGTTAGTGCCACGCGCGTAATTAATTAAAAATAATAATAATAATAATAATAATGGATTTGATATTTATCTGCTTACACGTTCTTTTCGTGGAAGGAGAAAATGAGAGACGGGGTAGCAGGGAAGTTGAAAATTGCGTTAATTACGTCACGTAAAATTGATTACGTCACCAAATAGAAATAAAATCGGTACCGGAAGTAAAAAAAAAAAAAAAAAAAAAATTTTATTTTATTTTATTTTACTTTCATTTTTCACTCTTCTCCCTCCCCCCACTCCCATTCCATCCCACCACCCCTCCAATTTATAAAAAAAAGGAGAAAAAATGTGTATTGTTGACCTTTAACCTTTTACACTCGCGTTAACAAAAAAAAAAAAAAAAAAAAATTATTTTTCGCAAAATTTTATGAAATCACGCTAAGACATTTTTTTTCTCTCTCTTTTGATTAAATCGATTGTTTATTAGAATTTTTATAAAAATACTAAATGCGTAATAATTATGAGGTCATTTCTGATCGTTTTATCATCATCGTGACGTCATTATCGGAAACGGAAAAAACAGAAAAAAGTTGCGGGAAAAAAAAAAAAAATGTTTTTTAAATTAAATAAATTATGAGAGAGAACGAGTAACGTGGGAAAAAAAGCAAATGCGAGAGTAAAAAAATTCTTTTTTTTTTTTTTTAGTGGATTTAAATTTTTAAAGTTGGCAATACAATTTTTTTTTTTTTTTTACGTCGGGTTTAGTAACTTTTGTTTTTATTGAATAATGATAAAGCGACTACTTTTTTTTTTTAACGAACGAACGAACGAACGAATGAAAAAAAAACGTATTAAAATTTAAAATTTTTGATTTTTTTTTTCTTTCTTTTTTTTTTTTTTTTTGAATTTTTACTGAAATTCGACCCACCCCCCTTCCCCCTCCTCTTTCTCCTCCCCCCTTCCATTTTCCCAACCGTTTCAACGGTTATTTTTTTTTTTTTACTCTATGACTCCTCACATCCCCATCCTCCTTTACACACCCCCATATATATATACGTTCCGTTTTGTTTTCATCCTGTATTTTCCATCTCTTTTTTTCATCGTATACCCAGGAAGGACCCCGTGTGTGTGTGTTTTTCTCTCTCTCTCTCTCTTTCCAACATACTTTCCGAATCCCCCGCACTCACACACACACAAAAAAAAAAGCTTTTCGAATAAAAAAAAAAAAAACTGTCCAGCTTTTTTTTTTTTTTAACTCCATGAATCGTTAATTATTATAAATTTTTAAGTGGAACCTTTTTTTTATTTTTTTTCCCACACACGCGCGCGCGCACACACCCCTACCCTCCCCATTTCCCCCTTCTCCCCCTTTTCCAAACCTTTCCTTTTTTTTTTTTTTTAAAAATTTTCCCAGTCTATTGTCAATTTACAAAAAAAAAAAAAAAAAAAAAAAAAAAATGGCCGACCGTCAGTCAGACAAAAAAAAAAAAAAAAAAAAAAAAAATGTCGTCGTCATTATTATCATTATCATTATTATTATTATGTCATCCGAACATTTTTTTCTCTTAATAGGAACGAAAAAATTCATTATGATGATGATAATAATAATAATAAATAAAAGAATTATGAAATGATTAATAATAATTATAAGAACCTGAGGATGAACGTGGAACTAGACAAAAATAAATAATAAATATACACTCATATAGTAGAGAAGATAGTGGCGCAAATCGAAAAAAATTTATACATAATAATGATAATAATAATAATAATTAAAAAGGAAAAAAAAAAAAAAAGGTCACCTAAAAACCATAATTTCATTCCGTTATTTCTACTTTTAATGGCATTGATGTATCTCGTACTACGACAACACCTTCCGAAGGTTCGACGACGAGTCCTCCCCCACTCCCCCTCGGTGAACTCCTTACCAAATCTTCAATGTCGTCGTAATCGTCCGAGGGTGATTTTGATAAGTGACGAGTTGATAAATTGACTTCGTAATCATCCGCCATTCCGGGAGGGGATTTAGAATCCGACGATCGAAGGGATCCCTTCATTTCCGTTTTACAATTAACGTTTGTTGTTGATAGATTAACGGCGCAACCGTCTAGAGGATTGCACGGTGATGAACCCGGTGAAAGGTCAATGTCTCTCGAACCTTTAAAACGTTATTCGATTGATAAAAAACTCCATATGTATATATACAAAAAAAAAAAAAAAAATATTGAACCCGTAAAGGTATTCGACTGATACCTGATGACGACTCACCCGGACTGTTGATTCTCAAATCGTGAGCGGAACCTAAAGGACTGTTTAACCTCATGCCGTTCGTTGGGAGTCCCAAATTATTGCAGTGACTCAACAGATTCAAACTATTCACTAATCCGGCATCTCCGTGATGATGAGCAGCTGCTACCATGTTGCACATTTGCTGACGAAGACCGTGTGCTACGGCAGCAATGGCGGCAGTCGGATCCGGATTGTTACCGCAAGCGTTTCCTAAATATGGCGAATCCTTTTAAACGAAACAAAAACAAATTTTTTTTTTTTTTTAAATGTCAACGAAAAACGATGACGATTAAAATTCCAGAAAAACGAAACTCACCGGAAGTCTTGGAAATCCTAAATGTTGTTCTTCTTTCATATGTTGAGGATCCCTAAAAACGACGGCTCGTATGACGCCTCGAATGTGTTCGTCTGGCCAAACACCCAGAAGAATTCTTTGTGGTCTTCCTCTTCCCTTGGGTCGCAAATCTAACATGAAAGACAATTAAAAAAAATCAGTGCTGCCAACAACTACCGAATATCATTTTTATTAAAAAATTAACGCCACACCCATGTTAGAAATTTTTTTTAGAAACAAATTTTTGTTTTTCAAACGTTTAAAAATAATAATAATACATTTCCGATTTTGAAAAACAAATATGGCGACGATAAACATAAATTTTTTTACTTATTTATTTATTTTCTATTCGCCATTAAAATTTAAACAATTAAAACGTCATAAAATGTCCGTCGGTTAAATACATTTGAATTATCATTATTAGTTTGACGACGACGACGACGACAACGACAAAAAATTATCATTGTCATTATAACGTTTTTTTTAAATATGGCGGCGATGGTGACGATGACGACAACAATCAATTTGGTATTTTTATAAAACAAAAGATGGGGGAGGGGAAAGACGTGGAGGGGGAAATGAAATTTAGGTGGATGGAAATTTGATTGTTAATTTGTGACGTCATCATCATCAAAGTCGTTTTTTCGAAAAGTGCCGTCGTTGTCGTTGTCGCTGTTGTTGTTGTTTTTTTTTTTTTTTCTTCTGCTTGTTTTTTATCTCTATGACATTGTATATATAAAAAAAATAATGATGATGATGATTTTTTCTTACCGGCACCCCCGTCTGCGCTGGGTCCCAACATGTTGTGAACTCTGTTCGCGTATAAAACAAACGTCGGATAAGGAATGTCGAATTTTCTCGCCGCCTGTGACAAACTCAAGCCTTCTTTTAAAACGGAAAAAATTGCTTCCGCCATTGTTTCCGGTCGCCATGATTTCAATGGTCCTCTTTCGCGAAATCTCAAATTATGTACGAGACTTTGATTTGTGTTCCAACATTTTTGCCACATTGACTGCAATTGGTATTGGTAACTGTCTGCTGGAAAGAAAAAATTAAAATTAAAAATTAATATAAATAAATAAATAAATCACATTTTTATTTTTATTTTTTTTTGACGTTCGAGTCATAGAGTAATAAATAAAACGAAAAATTTCCCGCGCTTTTTTGTTGTCGTTTTTCAAAATTTTAAATATACATATAAATATATTCTATTTTATTTTTTTGTTGAAACAATACCTAAACAAATAATTCAAATACATTAATAAAAATAATAATAATAATAATAACAACAACAACAACAACAACAACAACAATAATAATAATAATAATAATAATAAAAGTATAAAAATTCAATCAAAAAAAAAAAAAAAAAAAAAAAAATGGCATTTTTAATCACTGCCATACAATTAAAACAAATACAAAACCGGAAATAAGTTACCTAAAAAAAAAAGTTCGTAATAAAAAGTTAAAGAATTCAATCGCGCCTAAAAAAAAAATAAAAAAAATAAAAAAAACTAAATAAATAAATAAAAAATTAATAACCGAAAATGCAATAAAAAAAAAAAAAAAAAAAAAATATTATAAACATGGCAAACGTTTCGAAAAGCTCCGAGTTTTTCGGAGGGGGGGAGGAGGCAGGGGGAAGGGGGGAGAGAGTGAAAAAAAAAGTGGGAAAAGAAATAAAATGGAAAGAGGGAATACGTGGAGAGGGGAATGGAGATATAGAGGAGGAAGGAGGAGGGGAAAGGGGAAAAAGTTTAATAATGAAAGTAGAAACGGCGCGTAGATTATTTATTTCTTTTATTTATTAACGGTTTTTTTTTTTTTAATTTCAATCACCGTGCGACTGCCACGACGACGACGACAACGACGCTAGCGGCGACGCCAAGAAACAATAATTAATAACCGTTAAAATATTTAAAATAAATAAATAAAATTTATTAAAATAATTTTTTAATTCGATGAATTAAATTTAAATATTTTTTGTTTTTGTTTTATTCGTTCGAATAATGGCGGACGCGAACGGAAAATAATAAAAAAAAAACTACATTTTCCTTTTCACTACCTCCCTCCGCCCCCCTATCTCTCTCTCACTTACTCTTTCCTATATTTCGTGACTCCCTCTCTCTCTCTCTCTCAAACAAACGTAGGAACTTTCCACCCCACCCCATCGACTTTTTTTTTTTAATTTTCCACCTTTGGTGTGTGTGTGTGTGTGTTTGTATAAACGAGTGTAGTAAATACAACGAAATAATTAAAATTCTAAAAATGAAATGAATTTATTTTTAATGCTTTTTATTATTATCATCATCATCATCATTATTATTATTACTTTCCTTTTTTTTTTTTTCATAATTAAAAAAAAATAATTTACCGAAAACAATAAACACGAAACGTGGAACCAGAACGAAACGAACAAACGAACGAACGAACGAGTGAGCGAACGGGAAAAGAATAATTTAAAATAAAAGTCTGTTAAACGTGTCTTTAGACTTCATTTCTTTTTTTAATTTTTGACAACGTTGTTTCTTCTGACACGAAATCGAAAAAGGAACAAAACAAAAAAAAAGGAAAGAAAACTCTGATGAGATGATTATGATGATGAAACCTACGATGACGACGAAAGGATGGGCTGGGAATGTAATGAAAGAAAAGGGGAGAGTGAGGGGAGGGGAGGAGGGGGAGGGAGGAGGCCTGAGAGAGAAAAAAATAAAAAAGGGGGGGGGGGAGGGAAATTTGTTTAATTCAAAAGATTTTCCCCGGGAATTTTTTTTTTTTTTTTTTTTTTTTCGAATAATATAAAATTTTTTTTGAAAAACGTCTTTAATTTAATATTAATACCACGTCTGTTTCTCTCTCTCTCTCTTTCCCCTCTCTCCCCCCGTTAAAAACTATTAAAAAAACATCAACAACAACAAAAATAATAATAATAATAATCTACGTCTCGAGTTAACAACATTAAAATTCGTCAAAATAATTATTATTTTTTAAAAAAAAATTTTTTTTTTTTTTTTTTTTTTTTTTTGTTTTCGTTCCACGACGATTGTTTTTTTGCTTCCCCTCTTTCCTCTCTGCATATATAAAACGAACGTTCGAGAATATTCTATAAAATTCTTTTCTCTCTCTCTCTCTCTCACACACACACACACACACACATTCCACATATCATTATTATCGTTATGATTATTTATCCAATCCGTATACAAATTTAAATGTACGCCATTTTGTGTTTTTGTTTTTATACAAAGAAAAAAAAAATCGATATATTAATTTTCATCGTAATAATAATAATAATTTTTTATTTTCACCTCATACCCCCCCTCCTCCTTTTCGATGCATCCCCCACCCACCCACCCACTCTAGTAATTTTTTTTTTTTAATATTCGCCATTTCGAACCCGTTTCCCATTTTTCATTTATCTTTTTCTCTTCTCCCCCTGGTGACTGCGAAACGAACTAAAAACGCGACTTTCGTAATTAAAAATTATAAAGCAAAATGAAAATGAAAAAAAAAAAAATCATTCAATTAAATCGACCGATGTCGATTTACGTCAATAAAATAATAAAATGCATTTAACTTAGCTTTGGCTCTCTCTCTCTCTCTCTCTCTCTCGGTAATAAAAATTTTATTACGTGAAAAAAAAAAAAAAAAAAAAAAAATTTTTTTTATTATTATTAATCTCCTCCTCGATATACAAAAACTACAATTTTCAATGGATATGAAAAACGAGGGAGGAAAATAATAATAATAATAATAATAATAATAAAAACGAAAACGAACGGGAAAATAAATAAAAATAATAATAATAATAATAATAATAATAATAATAATAATAATAAATATAAATAAATAAAAATTATGTTCTACGTACGTACGTACGTACGTACGAACGCATAAGAAGAATTCGTAAAAAACGTTATTGAAACCCATCCGCCATTTTGTTTTTTTTTTCCCTCAACAAAAACGTTTAAACGTTTTGTACCGTAATTAAAATATTCGTCGTTTCCCGTAAAACCCCCACGCCACCCCACCCCACCCCCCATACACGATAAATATAATAATAATAATAATAATAATAATAATAAATTAAATGAAATTAAATTAACGGATCGTAATTATAAAATAAAAAAATTTATTTTAATTATTTTCATGCGATCCATCATTTACGCGTTACACGTCGTCGTCGTTGTCGTCGTCGTCGTCGAAAAGAACAAAAAAACCGTTAAAAAATATTTCGCGGAATTCGTTGCTGTTTCCGCGTAATTTCAAAAAACGAAAGCGTGTGAGTGAGAGAGAGAGAGAGAGAGAATGGGACAAACGATAAACGATGACGACATAAAGTATTCGTCGTCGTCGTCGTCTTCCGCCGCACCCGCCGCCACGGGAAAAGAGAACGTTGGAAAGAGAGAGAGAGAGAGAGAGAGTGGCAGAGAAGGGGGAGAGAGGGAGAGAGAGAGAGAATACGAGGGAAAAAAATAAGGTGCCATTAAAATTTGGTATTCAACGAGTAAACCGAAAGCATTCAACAGGGAAATTTATTGAAAACAATTTAATTAAAAATATGTAATAATAATAATAATAATAATAATAATAATAATAATAATAATAATAATAATAATAATAATAATAATAATAATAATAATAATAAATAAATAAATGTGTGTGTGTGTGTGTGTAAAAAGTGCGACGTTTTTACCCGACTCGAAAAAAATTTACTGCGTCGCAATAATAATAATAATAATAACAACATTTATTAACGGATATATTATATTTTAATTGGGTAAAAATGAGTTTAACACAATTTTCACATTTATTAACTCGTGATGACGACATTTTTGTTTTTTGTTTTTTTTTTTTTTAATTTTTTATAATCACCAAGAGAAATTAACACAAATAATTCACACAAATGTAACCTCTTTCTCTCTCCCCCCCCCTCTCTCTCTCTCTCACTCTCACTCTCATTTCCCAAACGAAAAACATTTATTTATATATATATTTATTTAAATTATACATGAACGCGCACTCACACACACACACACTCACCCTCATCCTCCTCTTTACTCTCTTTCCACCCTAAAATGAAAAACCTTTAAATAAATAATAATAATAATAATAATAATAATGGTGTGATGAGTGAGTTTTGTGTTTTATATGAGTAAAAATCATGAAACGACAAACAAATCCCAACCAACCCTCTCATTCCACAAACCCTTTAATACAACAACATCATCATCATCATTGTGATGAGTGGTGCCAACACTACCACCACCACCACCACCACCCTCATCATTTTCAATCACATCCCTCCCCCTTTTCTCCACAAATATACAATTCATTCGACATAATTTTCATTTCCAATCATTTAAATCTGTACTAAAACCGATAATTGTTAATTTGTTCTCTTTTATTATTTATTATTCATTAAATAATCATCTATTATTATTCTTTTAAAATTGTAAATAATTACATAAATTATTTAAAATTAAAATAAAATAAATTATTAATAATAATAATAACAAATGTGAATTCTAATGATGATGAAAATTATAATAATAATAATAATAACTATTATTATTTATATTTAACATTATGAATTGTGAGTAATTAAAATTGATTGACATATTTAATATCCAATATCCTACTCCCCAATCTCCCTCACCTCCCCCCCCTTTTTTTCTTTTAGTACTTTTTTTTTCATCATTCGAGAGAATTTCATTCGAGTTAATTTATCATTGGGATTCACAATGATGATAATAATGACAATCATTATAATTAATTCACATGCAACACAAAGAGTAAAATATAATAAAAACACACAATTCTATTTTTCAGGTACTTTTTGGTACAATAAATTAAAAATAAACAATGTAATGATAATGATAACTAAATGAAATCAAACAAAATGCAAACTGACACTAACTCGAGTTAAATTGGTTAAATGATTTTTGAAATTTTATAAGTAAAAGAATTTTTTTTTTTCAAACTACATCATGATTGGAATAATCATTG